AAGTTCAGTCTGAAATAGACAGAACATGTAAGCAAAATGTGCTGCTTGTGATTGGTGACTGGAATGCCAAAGTTGGAAACATAAAAGAAGAAAATGTAGTCAGATAAGCAGGAAACCGACAATTTCCACCAGTCTGATGATTTCTTTATAGCTGTCTTCAGACAACCAAAACAATGCCTCTATACACAGACATCACCAGATGGAGTATATAGAAATCAAATTGATTATATTATTGCCAAAAGGAGATGGAGGAGCTCAATTATAGCATCAAAAAGATGGCCAGGTGCTGACTGTGAAAGAGATCGCAGACTGCTCGTGTGCACGTTCCAAGATAAACTAAAGAAGAAGAAAGCTTGTCCGTTTCCCTGATATGATCTTGAACATACTGTATACCCATCATTTTCAAGGTGAACATCAGGAATCACTTTGAAGTCCTGAACTTCATTGATAGAGAACCAGAGGAAGTGTGGAATGAGCTTAAAGAAGTTATTAAGGATGAATGTGAAAAGATACTGCCAAAAATGAAAAAACAAGAAAGCAAGCTGGATGTCAGAACAAACTTTGGAAATTGCTAAGAAGAGAAGCCAAAGCCAAGAAAGACAAAAATCTCAGGAAGGAACTTAACAACTTAAGTTGTTAGAAGAGACAATAAGAGTATTACAATAACATTTGTAAAGACTTTGGAAACAGCTATGAAGAAACAAGGAAAGTCTTTCAAAAGATCTTTGAACTCAGAAGGAGGTTCCAGTCTTGAATTGGTATGCTAAAGGATGCCAATGGACAGATAGTAACCAATTCAAAGGAGATCAAAGGAATGTAGAAAGAGTATACTAAAATACTGTGCAGTAGAGATGTCAACATCCAAGATACCTTAGAACAGTGCTTCCCAAACATTTTCCTTCATTACCCAAAACTCAGGGGGGGAAGGAGGGCACTGGTGGGTGTGCATGCGAGCAAAGGGGGAAAGGAGGGCATGGTGCATGCCTGTGAGCAAAAGGGGAAAGGAGGGTGCGTTGCATGTGAGCAGAGGAGGGAAGGAGGGCATGGTGCGAGTGAAGGGGGGAAGGAGGTTCTGATGTGTGCAAGCGAAGAAAGGCTGGGGTGGATGGGGGAGACTTACTCAAGCAACTTGCGACCTCCCTTGCCAGCTTCCCCATTGACTTTGCTTGTGGGAAGCCAGCAGGGAAGGTTTCAAGTGGTGATCATGTGACTCTGGGACATTGCAACTGATCATAAGTGCAAGCTGGTTGCCAAGCACCCAAATTTTGTTCACGTGACTGCAGGGATGCTGCAACGGCCAGAGCTTTGAGGACCAGTTGTAGGTCCCGTCCTTCAGCACTGTTGTAACTTTGAACTGTTGCTGAATGAATGGTTGTAACTCAAGGACTACCTGTGTTATAAAAACAATATCATTGAATGATCTTTATGTTATTTTAACAAATTACCATTGGAAATTTCATCGATTTTCATCTTAATAGGAATACTTTGGGAGATTTTCGAATATATTATAGTACACATGGCAATCTTTAAGTCAATTTAAATGTTCCTTTTGTGAATGAGTTTGTGTGTCATTACCCAAAGAAAAACAACTTTGACCCAATTTTGGGTAATTTACCCAGGTTTGGGAAACACTGTCTTAGAAGGTGTACAAGAACCTATGCTAGAAGATGAAGTTAGATCAGCACTCCTGTCATTACTAAGTCAGAAGGCTACAGGAACTGATGGAATACCCACAGAAATATGGCAAGCAGCAGAAGAAGACTCAGTCAAGGTCCTAACCAAGCTATGCCAGCAAATCTGAAGAACAACACAGTGCCCAGCAGATTGGAAGTAGTCAGTGTACATTCCAATACCAAAAAAGGAGATTTAACAGTGTGTGCAAACTATTGTACAATATCCTTAATTTCACATGCTAGTAAAATAATGCTTAGAATCATCCAATGCAGATTAGAGCCCTGCATGGAAAAAGAGATGCCAGATGTTCAAGCTGGCTTTAGAGAAGGCTGAGGAACATGAAGCATTATTGTTAGTGCACGCTGGAAAATAGGAAAAAGCCAAAGAATACCAAAAAGAAGTCAGTATGTTCTTCATTGATTATAGAAAAGCTTTTGATTGTGTCAATCATGTCAAGCTGTGGAACGTGCTTAGAAAAATGGGAATTCCAAAACATCTCATTGTCCTTATGAAAAACTTATATACAGCTCAGGAAGCCACAGTACAGACAGAACATGGTGAAACAAACTGGCTCCAGATTGGCAAAGGACTGCAACAAGGCTGCATGTTCTCCCTTTATTTTTTTCAATCTATATGCTGAATATATTTACTAGGTTCTGCAATAGCTGGGAAGCTCATGTGCTTGCAGTGGCAAGAAGCACTTTTTACTGGTAGAAGCTGGTAGGTCAGCTATATCCTTATTTATATCTTGGATAAAATGCTTGCTTTTATTAATGTAATATTCCTTTTATTGTAGGCAAGCTGCTTTGGGAAAATCTTCTCTATTAAAGATGGCCTAAAATAATTAAACTAATTAATCTTATCATATTGAACACTTCACTCCTTCATTAAGAAATATATATCTTGCCCTTCATTTTCTTTTAGTAATGCTATTCTGGAATGGGCTTCCTAGTGTGGTGCCTATTTTTACGAATGTGCCTTTTTATAGTTCTCTTGCTACCTATTGGACTCCTTTCCCCACCTCATTTTTTACATTTAAAATAGTAATGATTTTAAATGTGAGATGTTGGCCTTCCTCAAAACAATGTTCCAGCCTCTGGCATCTTTTAATTTCCAAACATTTCTCTGGGCCCCAAATGGGCTTTGTAAGCTTTCTTGGAAAATGAAAATAGTGGGCTGCTAGTGTCTAGTGCTTTGTTTAGAAGTGTGCCCATCTGCCTCCAATAAAGACAAGGCTAAGCAAAATTACTAGGAGGCATCTGGAAGAAACAGGGTCCAGTCCAGGTGGCAAATAGTCTTCCAGTTAAATAGTGCTTTGTAATTGGTGATTTGGAATCCAAGCCCCTCTCAGCAATTATTTTTGAAAAGCACCCAGAAAATCCACAACAGGTTCTCAAAATGTGAAATTTACCACCACTAAATGATTGGGGATTCCTATTATGGAAAAATCTTTATCTCATTTTGCTTCTAGAGTCCACTGGTAAAACGACTCCAGGAAGATTCTGTTCATCTCAAGCAACAGTTACTTGGTATGGGGGCAGGTGACGGGCCCCATCAACATTTTAGAAACCATGCAAGAGTGATTCCAGATAGCTTGAAAGAAGCTGCAAAAAAGATCTGCTGTCTGAGCAAAGAAAAACAGCAGCTACTAGAGATGGTAAACAGACTAAGAGCAGAACTTGGAACAGCTTCAAAGGAAGGTAAACTCATTGGAGAGAAGGATCTCAATTCTTATATGAGAAATTCAGTCTCTTGAGATTGAGAAAACTAATAGAGTGAAGTACTGCATGTAGGCTTGGTGCCAAGGTTAAGAGGTCCTAGTCAGAGCTTGAGAATGAAATGCTGCTGAATAAGAGCACAGTTGCTCTTAACATTGAAGATGGTGGGATGAAACATGAACAAACTCTGCATTTGTTTCTTATTCTTGGCTATGAAGACCTTGATTACTGCACTAAAAGGTCAAGGTGGCAACTACTTGTTACATAACAGCAAAAAGCTCTTTTATATACTTATCATGTATATAAGAAGATTCTTGAAATAAATACTTTTTTGTCTTGTTTCCTGGAGATGAAGAACAATGCAAAATGACATTATTGTATAACTAACTTGAGATTAAAATAGATGCCTTGTAAGAGAATTTGATTTTAAAGTTTACATTCTGGGACCCAACTTCTTTCAATTGAGGTTTGTTATATAAAAGCCATTGCTGTATGACATGTTATATGCTATACAGAAAAAGTTCATTTCCTTATTTTGTCATCTCTCTAGGATTTCAGGATTGCAATGATACAAAAAACCCTCAAAATGACACATTCCCTGGTGCCCTTTATCCCAAACAACTTGAACAAGAAGCAAAACAGCATTTTCTAGCTTTAGAACACTTGCAGTACCAGCTTACAAAACAGGTAATATGATCTCTTCTAGGCAGTATGTCAGAACTTCATCATACAATTTTATTCTAAGGACAAGAAAGTTGTCTTCTGAATGCTAGATCCTTTCTTGTGATCACAGTGATATGATGTGCAAGCTGTACAAAAGCCAGGCTCTGGAGAGTATTGTGGAATAGCTCTGATTTTGCTATGCCCAATTTACAGCAACTGTTCATATTCCATGGAGAACATAGTCAAGATATAGTTCACCTTTTCTTTGGAGATTGCAGCAATGTGTCATTTTTGTGCTTTCCATAAAGATCAGTGCATAATACGGATAGAAGGGACTTGGGTAACATTTAATCTAGAGAATAAAGATCTGAGAGATATTTTCACTAACAATTTTGGAATCAGACTATATTTGTTGTTTTGTATGACTGAATTTGTGCAAGGAGCCAACTAATGGGCAGGCTCTGAGTATCACAGAGGACTTCCTTCTGAAATTCCATGTACTTATTTCCCCTATGCCTGGACAACATTTGCGGGGTCTCATTGGGCACAAAGAAGACCACTCTGTCGTTTTCTTGAGTCCTTATGATTCAAACGAACAGAACATGGTTTGCAGAATGAGATTTTTTTAATAATAATTTTATTAAAGTTTACAAAGCAAAGATAAAAGACTAATACAAATTAATAAGAATATAAAAAGTAAAGAAAAAATAAAAAGGGCAAAGAAAAAGAAAAAAAGGAAAAAGAAAAAAATATAAAGAAATCACTCCCCCCTCCCTCCAGGCAAGTATAGATAACTTCAGTAACTTAACAACTTCTCTAA